TTGTGGATATAGATTTGGATTATGAACAGCTTTGCAGGCAGAGCCAAATTTAGAGAAGCAAGGCCACCGGGGACAACCAGGGCCACCGTTTTCCCCTTGCCCTACGGGATTGCTGGGGAAGCACCTTCATTCCTTGGGAAGAGGTGGAAGGAGCAATGAGAGCAGATGCCATCCCCTGGGATGGTCCCTCCTCCTCACACTGGGACACCGCTGTCAGACACAGGGTTTGGGTTTGGAGCTGGGGATTGGACCTGGTAATTCCTATGGATCCCTTCCAGCTCAGGATGTTCTATGATGCTATTTGTGTCCGCAACCACGTGAAGAGCCAGGAGAGCACCAAGTGTCCAACAGCCAAGGGTGGGCCCTGTGCAATCAGCACAATGCTTTCACTGCTTCTTCTTTCCCTTTGGGATGAGGTCACATCCTCTGCTCCCAGCGCTGTTATGGCTGCAGCCAGGCAGGATGAGGCTGACAGGGTGGCTCTCTCACTCCACCTCACCCGCACGCATACCTCTGGTCCTGCTCAGACAGTCCCAATGGATGTGTCCCCAAGGTGAGGGCGATGCCTTCCACCTCTCTCTTCTAATGGGAGCCACCCAATGGGGCTACCACTGGGTTGCATGGTCTGACTTGATGAGCGACAAGATAGCCTTCGTCATTGTCTCCTGTAATTGCCTCTTAATGGTTTCCATCTTTGGAGGAACCCCTTTTGCTGTCCCAGATCTGGGGAGAGAAATGTTTCGTGGTTTCCCTTATCTGCAGTGGGAAGGAGGAGGAGGAGTTTCCCAGGCTGGGCACAGGCTTTGTTCTCTGGCTTTAGTGCAATTTGCTGTTAAGTATCTCTTGTTGGAACTCCTCAGAAGCCCAATGAGGAGAACCAATGTTGTCATTTGCTGGGTGCAGCAGGCAAACCAATCTCCTACTCTCCAATCTCCTCCAGTCTTCCAGAATGTCCAGGTTGGGTAAGAGGAGAACAGAAGTCTCCTCCTCAGCTAAAAGCTGTAAGACAAGTAGATGCCGCCAAGCAGCTCCTTCAGGTTGTCCCAGATGCAGCATGATACCTCATTTCGGGGCCAGCAGTGCCCCTTCCTGGTGGCCTCTTCCCAATGAAGCAAGTGGGAATTGCCATCAGCATCTTCCTAAAGGGGCTGATATTCCTGTGTGGGGTACATCTTGTGCATCTCCGGTGGTCTTGGAACCTTCATTGTATCGAGGCTGGAGGTGAGAGGCTGGAGTGGCAGAGATTTTGGGGTGGCTATTCTTGTTTCCTCCAAACATGTCCAGCCTCACCTTTTGCTTCTGATTCAGTCTGCAGTAGGGCTGAGTGGGAAGACAGTGTGCCCTATGCATCCCCTACTTCATCAGTTCTATAATGGAAAGGAATTCCCCAAATCTCATTTCATGCTTAGGCAACCTCAGCATCAGAGAAGATGCTACTTGCGTCTATGGTTTTCTGGTCCCAAAAGTTCTTCTGATGCCTAGCAATGGGGAGTTGATACCTCTGAAGGGAACTGTTTGTAGGAATTCTGGAACTGGCTGTGCAGATGGAGTGTTAATTACTCATCCCCAGTGCCCACATCTGCACTTTGCTTTTTCCCCAGTCTGTTTTCACCAACCCAGACAGACCAACTCCTGCTCAGTGCTGCTCCCAGAGAAGCCCCAGCCATCCCATGGCTCTGGGTGATCATTCCAGGAGGTCAGAAAATCCTCTTTGCTTTCACACTGGAGTCATCACTGAAGCATCCCAAAGCATTGCATGCTAAGAGGCAGTTTGTGGCCAGCGCTGCTTATGCCATTCAGCAAGCATTGTCATATACAATAATTAGTGCAAAGCCTTACAGGAAAAGTGTCATCGCAACTGTAGAGGGTAATGTATGCATCTCCTGATGGGAAGAGCTGCAGAGCATGACCCAGCCTGCATGATTTGATGAGAAGTGAGGCAGATTCTCCATCTTGCTCGTGGTGTGGGCACCCTGAGAGCTCTGCGTCAGCACTTCTGTGGTGTGGGTTATCTTGGTAGAAAGTGGGTAATGAACCCAAATAGTTGTGGGGATGTGTACTGGTGTACTAGGGAGTTTGGCTAACATCCAGTGGCCTGCAACAAATTCAGGTGAGTCCATCAGCACATTTGGAAGGAGGAAACTGGTTGTACGTGATGAAGCCCAGGTGCAGTTTTGGGGCTTTCTTGTCCTCTCCTGGATAATGGGAGCGCAGGGATGCTGAGTAAGCCTTGGGAGCAGAGGAGGAAAGAATAGGGGATAATCACAGAACCGTAGGATGGTGGGTTGGAAGGGACCTTGAAGATCTTAGAACCATAGAACTATGGAGTGGTTGGGTTGGCAGAGACCTTACAGCCAATTCCAACTCCATGCCATGAGCTGGTTGACCTCCACCAGACCAGGCTGCCCAGGGCCCCATCTGAAGCCATCTACACACAACCCAGTGTGATGTGCCCTAGGGGATGCTGCTTGAACAAAGAGGTTGGACTGGATGATGCAAAATCTTCAGCTCTTCTGCAGAGCCCATCTTGGTGAGTGGAGAGAAATAAGGCATATGAGCTTGCTACTTTGTTTTGCTGGTGGATATTCACAGCTGTACCCAAATCTGCTGTCAGTGCTGAGTTCCTTAGATTTGATAAGCAATAATACCCAGTGTTCCCAGGAAATCCCGAGCCAGGAACAGACCCTCAAGGTATTTCATGACCAAAGCCATTTTTTACCCATCACTCAGTGGGGCACAGATAGTTGAGAACTGGAGCTTTGCAGGGACGGAAGCACGATGCCTTCTGTCTCCCACCAGTCTGCACAGCTCCCAGTCCAGCACCAGCAGAAGAAGTGAGAAGCCTTTCGCAACCGTGGTCGGGTGTTATGTGACCAGCCGGGCAGATCCTGGCACACGGCCCCCACTCTTAGGAAATCAAGCAGACTCTTTGTCTGCTTTCCAGCAGCAACTGCTGCTTTGGCTGCACAGCTTCACCCAGTTCAGGGAACCAGCTAAAGAGCAAGGCAAAGTGTTCTTGCAGACAGCCTGAGCCCCAAGGGGATGATTGCTAGGTAAACCCAAAGCGTGTGGGGCTGAGCAGCCACTGGGAATGGTGTGAGACACAGTGGGGTTGGGGCAGCACTCCGCAGCAGGGAGGAGCAGTTATAAATAGTGAAATAAATAATAATTCCAACGTGGGAGTGCTAATTTACTAAGTATAGTATGTTTACCTTGAAATATTTTAAGTAAATAAAAATCAGATTGCAAACAATTAATGACATTGCTTAGGGTCAGGGTCTGGTTGTGCAAAAGCCACACATCAGGCTTGCAGTTTGCTCAGGTTTGGGTTTGCACACTCGGTACTTGCATGCAGCCCTGCTTGCGTGAGCTGGTAGGGACATGCCAATGGTGACATCCCAGTGATGACATACATCCCAGTGGTGACATCCCAGTGGTCATATCCCAACAGTGCTGTCCTGATGGTGACATCCCAATGATGACATCCCAATGGTGACATCTCAGTGGTGGCAACCCTAGAGTGACATCTCAGTGATGGCAACCCAACAGTGACATCCCCATGGTGCCATCACAGACATGACATCCCAGTGTTGACATCTCACTGGTGTCATCTCAGTGGTGACGTCCCAGTGATGGCATCCCAGTGGAGGCATCCCAATGGTGACATCTCAGTTGTGGCATCACAGCAGGGACATCACAGTGGTAGCATCACAGTCTCTGTTAAACTGTACTTCTGGGCTACTGCCTGTTTATATTTTTCCCTAATTGAGATAGTTTTTTTGTTGTTGTTGTTTTTGGGGGGGAAGGTTTAATGTAATCTCTTGGGTTGTTTTGCAAAGAATCTGTTAACTGTTTAGGAGAACTTATCTCAGAGCTTGTGGTTTGGGCTTAACCACTGTTCCCAAACAATTCAGTGGAAAGATAAACTTGGGGGAACTGCTGCATGCATTCAGTGCCTGGCTGGATATTTGTCTAACATGAGATCTAACTGATGGGACCACGTGCTTGTCCAGATGCTGTCAACATCAGCTTCAAAACAAAGTGCTTTCTGCTGAAAACAGAAGAGAGCAAAGACACAGCTTTGAGACCTACCATAATTCCTTGAGTTACTTCTTGTTTTTCCAATGGTGGTGGAGCTGTAAACATGTTCATTTCTAAAAGAAAGGAAACAGAAAAAAAATGGAATGGGAAGAAGAGATGACTGAGGCTGAAAAGCAGAACATTGTGTTCAGTAAGAAGTGTGACTTCAGAGCAAATTCACTGCCACTGAGCTGTGTTGTGCATGGGCAGGTTTAATTAGCCCAAAGACTTTTCCACATTTTGCCTTTTTTTGATGAACTTCAGAGATGAATGAAATCAGTTAAGTTGTCACAGCAATGCACCACATCATAGTTTTTATCTGCAGAAAAATCAGCCAGAGCAGTTCTGCTCTGTCTCCTGTGTCTTTAACGGAAAGCCTGAAGTGAAGACTCTGAGTGCATGACAGTGGTAAAGTGAAGGTAGAAGCAAAGAAACATGCACTATCAAAAAAAAAAAAAAAATGTGGAGGTTGGTGGCCTTGCACGTGGCAAGGGGGTTGGAGCTTTATGATCCTTGAGGTCCCTTCCAACCTAAGCCATTCTATGATTCTGTGATTATATAAAGATGCGCATTTTTGACCCAGCTTTGCTCACAGTTCCTCGTTTTTGGGGAGGAACTGCCCTTTGCCACTGACTCATGCCATTATGGCCTGACCCTGTAGCATCATGTTGGGTTGTTCTTGGAAGTTGCTTGTGCCTATGGGCTGTGTTTGGAATGCAGAGTTCTGGGAGAGCAGAGCTGGGTCTGGGGTTGGCTGGAAGTGGCTGAAAAAATCACTACTGAAATGCCAAAAGGTGAATGGAGATCCTTTGTGCTTCAAGGATAAGGTGGTGGGAAGCGACCACGCAGACTCCCATGCTCTCAGCAAGCATCAGTACTTTAAGAGAAGTGGTTAATCTTCAATATCCCCTCTTTTGCAGTTGTTACAGTCTCAGGATGTGAAGGAGGATGCCGTGCTGTGCTGCTCCATGGAGGTAGGGGAGCTCCACATCATGTTGTCCCTTCTGCCTCATGCAGTGGTGGTTGGCTATTCAGAGAACTTTGCTGTGCTTTGTAGGGAAATTATGGTACCTACATTGCACAGGTGGGATTGCAAAGTCGGGGTTGATGTTTCTGAGGCTCATGCTGCTTTGGGAACCTATGGCCATGCTCAGAAGGGTGGAAACACAGGGCTGGTTGCGGTGCAGAGGGATTTGGTCTGCATCCGGAAGAGCCCTGCTTAGTGACTGGGGCACACGACAGCTGTGAATCAGCAGCAAATGGAGGATCAGGTAAAGGGCTGCACACCACATCACAGCACATGCTGTGTTTTGACAATAGCTCGAGTTCTAGGTGGGATTTTTCCAAAGCACATGGTGCTGCTGCCTTTGAAGTTGGTGGGAGATGAACCACGCACTCCTCCCTCCCATAGCCTCACTCGTAGTGCAGCATTAATATTTTTCAGCAGGAGGAGGAAATAGTAAAAATTCTTCTTGGAATGAATGATAAGGCACTGGCACAGACTGCCCTGTTAAGTGGTGGAGTCTCCATCCCCAGAGGTGTCCAAGAACCATGGAGATGTGGTATTTGGGCACGTGGTCAGCGGACGTGGTGGGGTGGGTTGGGGATCTTGGAGGCCTTCTCCAACCTTCATGGTTCTGTGTTTCAGTTTAGGAACACGGCTAAGTGGGCTTTGTGGGGATGGCCCAGTGGTTGGACTAGATCATGTTAGTATTCTTTTGCAGCCTTAACTGATTCTGTGATTACTGGGGCATGGTGGCGATGGGTTGACAGTTGGACCTGATGGTCTTTTTCACCCTGAGTGATACTGCCTTTCTACAAAAACAAAGCCGTAACGCTGTTGCCCCCTCTCTCCTGACAGCTGCAGAGCACCGGCCGGCTGCTGGAAGAGCAGCTGCCTGAGATGATGACGGAGCTGCTGGCTGCGGCCCGTGACAAGATGCTGTGCCCCTCTGAGTCCATGCTGACGCGTTCCCTCCTGCTGGAGGTCATTGAGCTGCACGCCAACAATTGGAACCCGCTGACGCCCACCATCACGCAGTACTACAACAAGACAATCCAAAAACTGACGGCCTGAGGGGCAGGGCAGGGTGGGGTGGGAAGGGGCGAGGAGAAGACGTGCACCTTAGCGGGATTCCAGTTGATGTACCCAAGCAGACAAACCCCAGCATGCTCGAGAATTATGTTCGTGGGGTGGGGAGGGAGAAGCATGTTTCTTTCAGCCTCGTCGCCAAGTGCCACCCCTCCTCCCTGCCGTGTTTTTGTTGTAGGGTTTTCTTTTCTGAAATCGGCGTGTCCCGCCGGGTTATTGTTTGGCTTTAGAAAGACGACGGTGAGTCGGAGGAGCGAGCCCAATGGGGCCAGGATTGTTTTCACGCTGTCCCCCCGCCCTGCTCTGGCCAACTGGCAGCAGACAGCGCACAGCAGATGTCTGGGGAGGACAAAGCGTGGCACACACTACACAGACGCTCATCACTGACGGCTTTTGTCCAGCGGAGCTCTCGTTATTCTATTTTTCCCCTTCCTCAACTTTCTGCCCCCACCTCCGCTCCGTCTCCTCCGGATTCTGATGGGCACATAGGATGGCTTTCTGATTTGCACTGGGTTTTATTTTTTTCTTGTGGTTTTTTGTTTGTTTTTTTTTTTGTTCTGTTTTATTTTATTATCGTCAAAACGGACAATTGCCATCAGCGCGGAGATGGGGCAGCAGCGCTTACCCTCCGCTCACAAATGGTTTCATGAAGATGCTGAAGCAGGAGAAGGATTTTACAAGAGTCCAAAAACCACTGTAGGAGAAACGTAGCCACAGTCTTCTTGCCAGAAACCTCGCAGATTTACCCAAAAACATGTGCCCTGAGCTAGGAGCTCTGCGGAACACGGGATGCTGCTGTGCTGCAGCATCTCCCATCCACTTAACAATAGCCCATTTATTTTTTTTAATTTTTTTTTGTTGTTGTTTCTGTTGAAAGAGTGCTTTATTGTAATTACTGTCATCATTGTAATTATACATTTAAGAGCAGGCCTGTTATAGTCAGGCCTATTCATGTACAGGGCAAGGGAGAAATGAAGACTTGGTGTTCTCGGGAAACCAGCAGAGAGAAGGCAAAAAGCATATGGCAAAAAAAAAAAAAAAAAGGGAGGAAAAAGAAGAGGAAAACGATGAAAAGCCAAAAATACAGTTTTCCTGCTGCTTTCTCACTGGCTGCATTTCCTACTTAGTTTGTAGACTGAGGTTCAGTGGGCTTGGAGGTTCCTTCCAACCCAACTGTTCCATGGTTCTGTGATCTTCAAGGTCCCTTCCAACCCAACCATTACGTGGTTCTGTGGATCTTTGGGGAACTGGAAGAGCAGAGACTTTTGACATGAAGGTGTTGAGGAAGTGAGAGTCTTGGTTAGACGGTTCAGAGCATTGGGAGCCATTCATTTGGTTGCCTGTTGGTGTGTCTGCAAATCCACACCTGGTGTATGAGAGAGGAACTGAGGAGAGGAGCTTCAGCGATCCTAAATGCTGAGGAAACAGGGAGATGGCTGCCTGTATGGAAGGGCAGATGTCAGGATCTGAGCTGGCAGCCTCCCTGCACTCCGCACCACAGCATCCCTTGGACTCTGCTCTCTGACTAGAGCAAAAGAAGGAAAAAAGAAGGAAAAAAATACACTAAAATACAAAAAGGAAAAAAAAAAAAATTAAAAAAAAAAAAAAAAGAGAGAGAGAGAGAAAATCCTAGGGGGAGGTTTGCCCTCCAGCACTGGGATTTCTCCCATCAAAGAACTTCTGTGTGAAATCCATCTGTTTTAATGTCCGTGTTCATCCCACCATGGACCACTTGGTCACTCAGTACATCCCTCGCTCCGTTGAGGCGTGAGAATCTAGGAGTTGACCAAAAATGTAATTTTTTTTTTCCCCCAGTATTATGTTCTGCTGCTAGTGTCCCTCACTGCAGGGGCAAAGTGTGGGCAGCGTTGTATTTTGGGTGCAGAATACCCTCTTTTGGCCAAAAGTGGGGCTGGCACCACGGCGATGCCCCAAAACTGCAGCCCCCCAGCATCCTCCTTCCCATTGCCAAACATCTGCCAGAGATGAGGTGTTGGTGCCCACAACCAATTCACTTGGATTCCCCATGAGAGATTTCACCCCCATTTGGGGAACTCTTTGTCTGTATGCAGGTGGAACAAAAACTGGGGAAAAAAGGCAAGATAAGTTATTTGCCTGGTTCCCCCCATCCCCCAAAGGGGATTGATCAGTACCTATTCTTGGCATGATCGATGATTTCGGAGAAAAAAACTTGTCAGAAGAACTTATGATTGATTCTCTTGCTTAATTTTATAACATCCCTCTCTTGGAAATACGGTTTATTATTTCCCTGCTGGGTATTTGATGGCTTTACACTAATTTTACTCTTCTTGGTGTGAGCTGTCAGCCCATCCCAATGAATACTCAGTATTTTTCAGGAGAATAAACACGAAGGGCTGTATCCATCGCCAAGGGAGCAGCAGTGTCCCGCAGAAGATCACACTAGCAGTTCTTTTTTTTAATGTATTTATTTGCATTTGAAGAGGCACCATTTTTAATTTAATCATGTTTGTTAAATGAAGCGCTTTAAAAAAAAAAAAAAAAAAAAAAAATTAAAATGGAGAAAAAAAAAAACAAAAAAAAAAAACCAAGGAGAAAGGATTTTGGGGAGCATAAAAACTAGATATTCATCCTAGAGAAAACTCATCATTTTCAGCATTTCAGCAGCATTTCAGAGACGAGCTGACAACTCTTTGTGGCAATGCAGTCTTCTTGATAGAACATCAGACCCACTGTATGCTATAGAACACGTCATCTGAGTAATAAATGTGTAGAGCTTGACGTTTTCCCATCGTTTTGTTGGGACGTGCCATCAGTTTTTGGTGTTGAGCTTCAAACATAGGATAGAGGGGGGAAGAAAGGAAATCACAGTGTCTGGTGTGAAACATTGCTCCATCCATCCTACAGCTTGTGTTGGAAATAGGGCGCTCAACGCTGCTCGGTGGTGCCCCTTCCCAGTAGGTTTTGGCCATGGGGATAGGGCGGGGGAACCCCGCAGCACATCGCGACCCGATGCACCGCTCTGCCTGTTACTCAATATATATATAATAAAGAAATAAAGCTGTGGTTTTTCCAAGAAGTCTCGCGTGGAAAACCCGTCTCAAGTCAATTAGAGGGGGCTTTTGGGCTAATTGAGATGTGCGCGTTCGTCGGGTCACTCGAGGGGAGGGTTTTGTGTCACCGGCTGCCGGGCTGTGGCAGGAGGATGCAGGTGATCCACTCCTGCTGTGTGAGAGTGGCAGTGTCTCTTGCAACATGCCTACGTGACCGCGTGCAGCTCACTGGGCTCCAAGCAAACAGGGGCGGTGGGAGGAGCCAGTCCCCAGGTGGGAGTGCCACCAAAAAGCTCCGCTGCAGTCACCCAAAGGCGCTGCGTTGTGTTATGCTGTTGGTAGAGCAGGGAAAAGCAGGACTGGGTCTGTGCATCAGCTTCATGCGAGGGTGATGGCCTCAAGTAGCACCTGGGGACATTCAGGTTGGACATCAGGAGCAATTTCTTCTCCAAAGAATGGTGATGCAGTAGCATAGACTGCACAGGGAGGTGGTGCTGTCACCATCCCTGCAGGCGTTCAAGAACCATGGAGATGTGGCACTTGGGGACATGGTCAGTGGGCACGGTGGGGTGGGTTGGGCTTGGGTTTGGGGATCTTGGAGGGCTTTTCCAACCTCAGTGATTCTGTGAATCTATGGAAATACACTTTACCCTGAGGTTGCAACACCCATTACAGCACCAGCGCAGAGTTAATGGGAAAATCTGGTTCCTGGAGGTCCATCAGACATACACGAGCGTCTTCTGCATGCGCTGTGTCTTCTCCATGCTCTCTAGCAAACAGGATACATAGCTGGGTCTCATCCCTCCCAAATCCCGTAGCCCGGGCCATGGTCCTGCAAAACCTGTAGGAATTCTTTTTATCCAGCAACCCCACTCGTAAGGAGAAATCAGATTTCAATTTCGAAATTGAAATTTTAGTTTTTCGGCATTTCTACATGTTGAGCTCCAACTCTCCTAGAAGAGCTCTGTTCCAATAAATGAGGGTTTGAAGGAGAAGGGGGGAGAGGACGGAGGTGTATCGGGGACGGGTTACACCAACCTGTCTGCTGCTAATTACATCTATTGCGTTAAGAAGAACTGGTTTGAGGGCAAATGCTGCAAAATACCGCTCTGGGGAGAAAAAGACACAAAGTACAGGTTGCGAAATTCACTCTATGCATTGTTTTACTGCAAAGGTAACTTCTACCCCAGGGTGTTGTGTTTTACAGCATTGCAAGAAATCAGACCCAGGCTCGCAGGTGCAGGCTGTGTGCTGCTAAAGCTAAAGCACAGGCGTGAGGCACGCTCAGTACTGGTGTTAAACCCATTGTAATTTTTTAGGGAAGGGGAAAAGCACTTGGGATCATGTTGCATGCGGAGATTACCCAGTTGTATTCATTTTCTGGGGGCAGGCAACCATCCCTGGTCCACATCTTTCCAATTCAGACACACCCTCCAGTACCTTGCAGGGGAGATTTCTGCCTTTCTGCTGTTGGTCCATCTGGTCCCCCTACTCTCCTTCCATGGCCACCCAAAGCACAGAGCTCAGCTGCTTTTGGAGACCTCCAAGGAGGGAGAGAAGGGATCTGGCATGAGACATGCTGAGTCTGCACTCACTCTTCTCCACCTAATTGTCCCAAGGTGCTGGATCACAGGAACAATGGGAAAACACACGGGATGGCACATCCCACATAGGTGGGCATGGTGTGGTGGTCAGCAGTTGGACTTGCTGACTGTAAAGGTCTTCTCCAACCTGAGTTATTCCATGACTAGGCACGGTCATCTTGAAGGCCTTTTCCAACTTGAATGATTGTGTGGTTCTATGGTTGGGCACTATGGGCATGGGTAAATGGTTGGATGTGATGACCGTAGAGTCTTTTTTCCAACCTCTGTGGTTCAACGAGTGGGCATGGTGGTGGGGGTGGGTTGATGGTTGGATGGGATGGCTGGGATGCTTACTGTCCCACCAGCCTGGTGAGACATAGGGTGAGTGCAGTCCCAGAGCCTGATTTCTGCTGGGAACCTCTGGGCCAAAATCAGGAGGAGGTTGAACTTTACCTATAATGTGAACGGAATGTGAACTCAGTGCTGGTTTGGTTTTCCCAAGTTCAAGAGAGTTCATGGGGAGGGAGGTGAGGAGGGAGGGCACTCTGCTTTTGAACTTGTGCTTTCTGTGATTTCTGCTGGCAGAAATGCTGCAGGGCCACAGGGGAGGCATTTTCAGCCCCCACATCCCTGGCCCCAACCCCATGTGCCCCTTTTCAGCGTGGCTGTGGGGCTGCACCACACCACTGGTCACCTCCTCTGTGACCCAGTAGCAACTCCCATTGTCACTGGCTCTGGGGAGTGTACAGATTCATTTCCAGGAACGAGACTACTGGAGGAGCAGTCCCCTGGGCGGCTCCTAACTCTGACACATCTGATGGCCATTCCAGGACTACTGGGAAATGTGTGGCATTCGTCTCCGCGGGGCTGCAGATGGAGTTTCATCATCATCTGCTCCGTGAAATGGGAGCTGCTGACATCCCTCAGCAGCGATGCAACCAAGTATATACAGGGTTTTGTTTTTTTTTTTTTTTTTTCCTAACCAGCAGAACTCAAAGTTTCATATCATTCCAAGCAATCCTATCCCAACAGCACTGCATTTCCACCCCAAGCGCTGGTGACACTCGAGCCCCCGGGCGCCGTTATCAATGAACTTTGGCACCTTGAACCATGGAAAACCCCTGAGCGGCGCCGGCAGCGCTGGGTGCTGGCGTCCCCGGGATCAGATGGCCCCAGGGGATTTGCTGGGAGTCCCATGACGCGCCTGGAAGGGAGCCTGGACGGACGGGCACCGCCGCAGGGCGCCGGCATGGGGTCACCGTGGGACAGCGGGTGGCCTCTGTCCTCTGCACACACCCCTGTGATGTCCCATCCCTATGTGTGCCACCCCTACGTGTGTCACCCCTCTGCGTGCCATCCCACGTGCCCCCCCCCCCCCCCCCCCCCCCCCCTCCCCCCCCGTGACATCCTGCAGTGAGGGGTCAGGAGAGCCTCCGCTTGAAGGGGGTCACAAAAATGAGAGAGGCTGAAGGAGGGGCAGCAGGAGGAGGGGGAGCAGCTGGAGGAATGTTAATTAACAGCAGCTTTTGCGGTGTTCTTTAATGAGGTCCAAAAACAGCTGAGAGGAACGAGAGCTGAAAGCAACATTGTGTTGGAATGGAGCAGAGGGTGGGAGAGGGCACACTGAGGGTGGATGGGTGATGCTATGGGGCCTGTGCTGCTTCCTACACCCCCATGCTTAGGCACGTGGTCAGTGGAGATAGGAGGATGGTTGTGATAGGACATAGGGATCTCAGAGCTCCTCTCCAGCCCCAGTGGCTCTGTGATCACTGCAGTGCACCCCTGCCATTGTCCCTTGCGCTCTGAGCACGCATCCATTGATGGATGCAGTGCTGATATTGAGACACTGAGATCAGTGTGTGATGGAGTGTAACAACTGCAGTGGGTTTTCACTTATGGGTGATCTGAGTGGTCTTCTCCATCCCCAGCGATTCCATGATCCTGTGGTGTAGGGACATAGGAGGTGACATTCAAGGTGGTGAGAGACGCCACGAGCTCCCCACACACTGGACCCTGAGGTACAATGCCCTATTCAGAAAGACCAGGAGCAGCAACAGAGGTTTCTGTAACCCAAATGATGCTGAGAACTGAAGGGAAATGCCAGGCTGTGAGTGCCAGCACCATGCTGTCAGCCTCTGCCTGTGTCTGAACTCAACAATGCTTCAGCAGACTGATCCGGTGGGGGGCAACCAGCCCATGGCAGTGGGCTCTGAGGTCCCTTCCAAGCCACCCATGCTGTAGTTCTTCGACCCCTGTGGTGCATGTGGGTTGGTGTTTTCTGCAGTTCCCCAAGCCAGGAGCAGCTCTGTACCAGGAGATGGATTCCCCCTAACAAAGCAGATCCCAATCTGGAGCTCTGCCTTCCTGCAACAAGAATATGCCTCAGGTGAAAAATTCATCTCCTGAACCTGACCTCCCCTCCCTGAGCTTTGGTGCAGGAGCAGCAGGGCTGACAGTGCAAAAGATCCATCACAAAGCATCCCCAGAGGCTCAGGTTCATTGCATGAGTACTTTGTGTCCTTTAGTTCTGCAGCAAAACCCAACGACTCGTTGCCCACAGCCTCACACCCATGAACTCTGTCCACACATTGCTGCCTCACTCCCATTGCGATCAAGAAACTTGGATTCCCTTATGTCACCCATGCTCCAGAGAATGCCTTTAACACCAGGTTTGTGCTTGCTTTCATTGGGCACCTGGTTGCAACAGGGCTCTTTTCAGTTTTCCTCCTCTTCCAGGCTCTCAGCCTCAGTTTGCCTTGCTAATGGGAGATCAAGATTGTTTTCTGACCCATTCATCCCTGGACATTGGCTCTGAAATGAGCTGATGAGCTCCAAGAGATATGTTATACCCGTGGGTTACATCCATGGGTTATGTTCATGTGTTATGTCCCTTCACTGGTCGAGTGATGGGAGCTGGGACTCTCCTGCTCTTCAGTTTTGTAGGGTGCTTTGAGCAAGACAAATACCTTTGGGTCTGGAATGAGATTTTCCCCACATTTTGAGCACATTCATATTGGCATTCTCATCTGGCCAGCTGCAGGGTGTACCTGGGACCAAACTCATCCTAGCTCAGGACCACAAGGCTTGGTGACAACACGGGTCTGTCCCCAACCTGAAACCTTCACCCAACAGATGTCTCTATGAGTCCCTTCACCTAATGGACAACTCAATGGATCCCTTCATCCAGTGGATGTTTTCATGGGTCCCTTCACCCAATGAACTTGTTAATAATCTGTGAGACAAGAGCCCACGAATTCCTTGGAATCCTCAGGGCAGATGAGGAATGAGTCCCACACAGAGCATCACCCAAGTGAAAACAGGGATCGTGCCTCTGACCCATGGAAACCTCTTGCTTCAAAGGTCTCAAGATAGTGGAGTTTTTTCCCTCTTGTCTCTTGCAGTGCCCATCACAGGCACTATCTTTCATCAGCAGTTGACAGTTTGAGCAGATTCCACATATGATATATCAGCGGAAAGCAGCATGCTTTGACCCTTCTTTATTGCACTCTTTAATTACCACTTGGCATCGCGGGGAAAAAAAAAAGCGCAATCGTGCTGTAATTTACGGTGGCGCAGGATATCATTAGGACATTTTAATGCCAATTAAGCTGGAGCCACGGTGCAGAGCAAGATTACAGCTCACCAGAACGGACTGATTTCAGCCATCCCAAATTTCCAGATAAATCCTTTTCTGGAGGGGGGGGGAGGTTGTGGAGATCAGGACTGGAGTCTGTCTCAGCCAGCTCCTGTCTGAGCCTCTTAAGTGCAGGAGCTTTGAGTAAGGTGATTTTGAAGGAGTGGGAACCACAGCTAAGCTGTGCAGAGCACAGTGATATGAGGTCTGGGGCCACCGCCACATTGTTGGACAGTTGTCATGGATGTCCAAGGAACTGCAGGGCTCATTCATAGGGGACATGTCGTAATTAAGTGTCCTTCAGCAAGAAGGACATGGCACTGGTCGCAAGGAGCTACCGAGGGTCTGGACAACTGTGTCTCATTTTGCATCTCCTGATGCTAGAGCTGAGCAAATGGGAAAGCAGATGAGCTGGTGCTCAGCACCCTTCTGGCTCTCTGTTTTCCTCTACTTTTTTTTCTTTTTTTCACTGAAAGAGGACTAAAATTAGCACAGCAGGAGTTGAAGTCTGGAACATTTTAACTCAAGTTGCAGAAGTACTGAAAAGCTGTAGTTTTGCTGATTATCTCTTGGCTTTCAGACAGCAAACAGTGATGCCTTGTCTAATATTTTCACAGACAAGTATAAGCAGAGGCCCCTGAAAATGAAGGGCTCTTTGGGGTGTTTCAGCTCATTCTCCAGCACCATGACATCCAACCTGGCAAGCCAGGTCCAACCAAAGGTCCAATCAAAGTTCCAAACAAAAGTGCTACCAAAGTTCCAACCAAAGATTCAAACAGGAGTCAACCAAAGTTTCAAACAAAGGTTCTCATCTGGCCAGCTGCAGGGTGTACCTGGGACCAAACTCATCCTAGCTCAGGATCACAAGGCTTGGTGACACCACGGGTCTGTCCCCAGCCTGATACCTTCACCCAACAGACGTCTCTATGAGTCCCTTCACCTAATGGACAACTCAATGGATCCCTTCATCCCATGGATGTTTTCATGGGCACTGCAAGAGACAAGGGGGAAAACTCCACTATCTTGAGACCTTTGGAGCAACCTTTCCATCCAAAGGCTCAACCAAAGGTTCAGTCAGCTCAGCAGCTCATCTCCTGCAAGAGGCAGCTGCATGGGACAAGGTACAAAATGGGATGTGCAGAGGATTTTCCAACCCCAGAAGACACTTGCAGTCACAGCTCACCAGCACTGTGCCCAGAAGGACACCTCAACCTGCTGTCAGGTTGCTGGTTTGACCATTGGGCATACGAGAGGTTATTGAGTGTTTTAAGTCTGATGGCACAGAATGGAAACGAAATGAGGCAAACTGTAGCACAAATGAAGATACACCAATGTCTGCCCTCTCGGGCATCTCTAGGGCCCACCAAGCAAGACAGGTGGGTACATCCACATGATCCAAGGCTATTTTGAAGCTGGCTGGTGGGCTCAGTGAAAGGAATCCAGAAGAGGCACAGTCCATTCAGAGCAAACCTAATACTGTATTCTCAATAAATCCCTTTGGGTGGGGAATGTTGGACAGAAAGGGGCAGTATTGGGTGAACCTGCTCTTAATGCTCACAAAGACTCACCCTCTACCACCTCTGTTCACCATGTGAAGGCCAGTAGGATCCAAGTCACGGATGCTGCACCTCTCCAAAGCCTCCAGGCTCCACAGGACCAGTGGTTTCCACTCAAGAAACTTGCCTTCACCAAACGTAGGAGCTCAATCAGCTAAAGGAACTTCTGCTGAGGACATGTTGGATGTGATGCAGAGCTCCAGTCAAACCCATGGACCTGTGGAGAAACCCAGATGATATGCTGGCATGAAAGCCACTGTATGTTAGGGACAGGATGGTAGAGGACGAACACTGGGCTGCTGCCACGGGGGTCAGCTCAACCTGAGATGACAAGCAACAGGAATACCCTCCTGCTGCACCTCCCCACCTCTAACAAAACCACTCTGCACCGAGGGTCAAGTGTACATTTTTATTTTTTTCATGGAACATAAAATCCTTTAGAAAAAAAAAACAAAAACATTCATCTGGATGAGAACACCCACAGAAAAAAACATCAATCTCGTGTTCTTTTTTTTGTTGGTTTTTTTTTGTGTTTTTTTGTTTTTTTGTTTTTTTTTTTTTAATTTGGCATTTGTTATTTGCATTTATATTAAAGCAAAGTGCATCTTCTCTTATTTTTCTCGTTTATACACATTGCACAATACATAAATAATGATGCTTATAAAACGTCTTTGTATTTACAAGTAATAATATATTTATATATAACATAAAATACATTTTTTTTTTTTCTTTAATAAATCTCAGGCTTTTTTTTAAGGAGTCCTTTTTTGTGTGTGTTTTCTTTCCAAAGCACTACGATGCCAAATTTCCGATGAGAATGCTCTCTTGTTCATTTAAACCTTTGTATTTAGAAAAATAGCTTATGTTAAGGTCTAAACATGCTCATTGAGCTAAGAACAGTGTAAAAGTATCATACTTGTGTATGAATTCAAGAAGAAATGAAAGCACAACGGCGTCTCCAGATACGATGGTACTGGGGTAACCTGATCCAACAGGTTCCGACAGACCAACTATCCTCAACACTTTTTTATTCCCCATTTTTTTTGTTTTGTTTTTGTTTTGTTTTGCTTTGTGGTTTTTTTTTTTTTTGGTGGTTTTTTTTTTTTTTTGGTTTTTTTTTTGGTGTTTTTTTTTTTTTTTTTTTTCCTAGGCTTATGTCACATCTCAGCTCCAACTGCAAAGCACGTGCCACGCACAGTTTCTTCACCGTCGTTTTCTCCTCTTGTATCAATCCATGATGATTGAAAACGCTGCGGAAAGATGGGCGGATGGAAAGGATGGGCACGGGGGCGAGACGTGAACCCAACGACGACGACGACCCAACGACAAAATTCAATAGCAAAAACAACACAGGTGGAGTAAGACCTGGTGGAAAGTTTGTGCACCACAGGTGGGGCTACGTTGGGTTAGCACTGCTAGGGAGGGGTATTGGTTGGGTGCCACCAACATTGGTACTGGTGGGCGTGAAAAATGCAGGGATCCCATCACGCTACACAAGAGCAAGTGGCTCCCAAACCCATCCATCACATAGGATAATCCTTTGGGAAGTGGGAAATGATAATCGTATGTGATCTCTCCCTGCCCTGCGCTCCCTCCTCTTCAGTTATTGGTCGTTCACACTTTCAAAAAATAGATCTATTTATCAAAATACCCAGGCGAAAATCTTCTCATAAACTATTTCTCAGAATGGGAAAAAGAAAAAAAAAAAAAAACAACAAACAAAACGAAACAAAAACAAAAAGGTTGCATGAAAAGCAAGCACTCAGAAGGAAGTAATAGCAGCAAAGTAGTATAAGTGTCATGAGTCTGCTCCGTCTCGTGTCATCGGTTATTAAAAATAACCTCTAACCAGCACGGGCAACTGCTGATGAACTGTCTGGTGTAGCACTGGCCCCAGCCCTTCACAAAGCTGATCTGCACGGTAAATCCAGTCCATGGCTGCTGCGTGAACTCGTGGTCGTTCGGCCTCTGCAGGCTGTATGCCTTCTCGTAATCGAAAGCCTTGATGGAAAAACCCGGGAACACTTTGTGCACCAGCAACGTCCTGGAGTCGGGGTTGTCCAGTGTGGCCGACTTGATGAAGATGGGGTAGCTGCTGCGGTTGTAGACCCACACGCCGTCCACCTCCTTGGTGAGCTGGATGCCGTACCCGATCTTGCTGCGCACCTTCTGCACCAGCTGGCTTCTGTTGTCCGAGTTGAGCTGCCCAAGGCAGAAGCCATTCCCCTGAGGTAGATCATAGAAGATATCCAGGGAGGGCTCTTGGACAGAATACAGCCGACCCACGCGTGTCTTCTCTTCCCAGTATGCCACCACGCACCAGTGTGAGTTATCCCCTGACTCCTGAAGAACTTGGGAATCTACAGGGAGACAAAAAGATGGAGAAATTGAGGACTGTGGAGGCGTTCTGATCCAAAAGTGATGCAACGTCATGAGCTCCATCTCTTCACAATGCTCTCCACACACACCCTGACAACCTCAGCACCCTGGAGTTGCCCATGGCCAGGCTGGATGGGGCCTTGGACAAGCTGGTGGGAGATGGTGCTATTCATAGCAAGGGGTTGGAATTTGGGGGTCTTTAAGACCCCTTCCAACCCAACCCAATCAATCCATAATCTCTGATGTCCCTTCCAACCCAACATTTCTCTGGTTCTGTTATCTTCAAGGACCCTTCCAACCCAACCATTCTCTAGTTTTGTGACCTTCAAGATCGCCGCTCTGTGGCTTCACCATTCTGTGATGATTTTATGATCACCGAGCCTACCAGGAGTGCAACCAAACCCCCTACAGCCCATCTCCATGAAGAAATTACCATCCATTGTGCAGAGCCAGTGTGATAAAACAAGATGTATTTCCAAAAGCAGCCCACAGGACATCACCCCTGGACTCAGCTGCCCCACTGTGGGGCTTTCATAGAGCCAGGTGAGGGAAGCCCAAGCCAAGACCTAGTGGAAGGCAGTGGGGTGGAGGCCGGAAGTTGCGTGCTGTTAAGAAAAACAGCCTCAAAAGCCACAAAAGCCACCCAAAACTTGGTTCCCTTTACCCTTATCTCCACTCCATCCTCTGGAGTGGGGTTACAGTACCAGGGGAGGGGACCAGGGGTGCTGAGCAGCACCAAACCCCTTTCCTTAATGCAGCATCCGCACCCGGTGCTGCTCTGTGATCCTTCCCAGTCCTTGCAGGCATGTTGGGACCCAGGAACTATTCATTTCTATAACTGCACTTAAAAACAAAAAACAAAAAGCAACCAGGCTGCAGGAATGCATGGGGGTGACCCATCAGCACCCCCTTCCCCCACACCCCACCCCAAGACTTAATGTCACTATTTTCAGTATTTTCTGTGTCTTTCACCGACGACTTCTTGTTGCTCCTCCGGGCACAGCCATCTTTTTAATCAAAAACAACAAGAAAAAAGAGACAACAACAAAATGCAGCTCCAGCGCCGCAGCCGTGCAATGCTCATTTCCTCATTTCAACGCCAGCAAGGAACAGAGTTCTGCAGTCACTGGGGGTTCATGGCCCCAAAAAGAAGGTGTGCCGGGGGGGGTTACAGCAAGAAACACCCCCAAGAGTGTGTTTTTCCACACCCTCTCCCCTAAAAAAAGAACGACGTGGGGTGATGTCAATGTTGCTGTGCCCCCACAACCCTCCCTTGCTGCACCCTCGCCGTGGGTTTGTTTTTAATTTTTTATTTTTTTTTTTTTTTCCATTTGGTATTTGATATTTTCAGATGTTTTAACTCGCTGTTTGCTTAAAGAGTCGGGAAAGCAAAGCTAGGTTGTAAAAATAAATAAATATAAAAACCCAACTCCCCCCTGCTTTCACCCCCTATAGTAAGTGCAGCCCCGTGCAGCTTGCACGCATTCTGCTTTACAGCAGTGGAGGGAATTTTGCAGCAGTCGTTGGACCAGCTAAAATCCCTCTGTTTATTTTCTTTAACATAAAAGCATCCCTTTCAGGAGGAGGGGGGGGGAAGGGGGGCAGAAAGGGCTTTTTCACCCCATGTTTGTGCTTGCGTTTGAGAAGACCCCTTAACGAGCGGCTCAGCCCAACGTACAAAGAGGTATTTAATTGCATTAAAAAAAAAAAAAAAGCAGAAGCCAACCGCCCTGGCGATGAATGAACAGAGCTCTGTGGAGGGCTGGAGCTCATGAATGAATCCCACTCGGGTTTTCAATGGCATGGGGTGAGCAGACCTCACGGACAAGGCTTAGGTAATCCGGGATTCTGGACCGTGCGGTGTAAATACGGCACAGCGCCTTCCGCCCACGGGCTCCACTCTTGGCTGGGTGTCTGCTCCAGCAGCCATGGGAATCACACAGGCCCAGGCCCTCTGCCAGCCCCACCAGTGCTGCTTTTCACCACCGCTGGGACCTCCCTGCTCCCCTCTTTTCTTGGCACCAGTGTTTCCCGCTGAATGAATGAATGGGAAAAGCCAATGGCGTCACCGGGGCGAGAGAGGAGGTCATAAGAAAGGAGGAAAAAGTGATGCAGTGATGCTGCTGACGGACATTTGTTCCCCAAAAGGCTCTCTCTGCTCTGCGGCGATGGCCATGAGCACAGCGAGGTGTAAGAATGGCCCTGGAGGTGGCCAAGAACTGTGGAGATGTGGCAATTGATGAGATGGTCAGTGGGCATGGCGGGGGTGGGATGGGGTTGGAGATCTTGGAGGTCTTTTCCAACCCTGAAAATTCTGTAAGTGGGCATGGTGGTGATGGGTCAGCAGTTGGAATGGATGACCTTAGAGGTCTTCTCCAAGCTTCATGTTTCTCTGATCACTGGGGTACAGTCCTGACTGGTTGATGGTTGGACTTGATGACCTTAGAGACCTTCAACAATCTTAATGATGCTATGACTCCATGAGTGGGCAAGATGGGGAGAGTCAGTGGTTGGACTTGATTTTAAGTCTTTTCCAACCTTCATTCTATGATTCTGTGTGTGGGCATGGTGGGGATAGGGTGACAGCTGCACTTGATCTCTTCTCCAAACTCAGTGATTCTATGATTCAGATACCCCAAGACATCGCATCGAGTTCATCTCATGGTCCCATGCCACCTATCACAAGAAAACCAATGCCATGGCTGGAACCAGACCCTTTCTCAGCAGTGAACCCTACTGCAAACTAACGTAAAAACAAAAACGCAGGCAAATTCATGGGGGGAAAAAAAATCTTTGAAACTTTTCAATACAAAACCCCAAATCACGGGAAATCGGTGGGAAAAAAAATAAAACTATATTGGAAAATCTGTGGCACAAAGAAGCCAAATCCTGGGAAATCTGTGGCCAGATCTCCTTCAGACCACCATGGCTGCTGTACAGCCAGGATACCAAAGGCTGAGCAGCTCTTTAGTACTGAGTTAAAACCACAATTTTTACAAGCTCCTCAGAGCACACACATCCCTTCGAAGCTAAATGCCTAGAGGAGTCCCAGTGAGCTCTGGGCACTCCCACATCCCAGCAGACAATGCTGCTGCTCAATGCTGGAAACATGCATGCCCTTGTTTCGTTATTAAGTGCCCCTCCATTCGCTGCTATCGGTGGTTTATTATTATTTTCTATGGCTGCACGACAGCTGCCTGGGGGCCCCATCAGGACCATTGTGCAAACTTACTGTAAAGAACAAATATAATAATGGAAAAATGAGGGCAGGAGAAAGAAGAAGTTCTTTTTCACTGTGGAAGAACTGAGGCTCCTTAGCTCATTTCAGAAGAGGGAATTCAGGTGGAATTTAAAGCAACTTTTGCAGCCCAGAGGCAGAGAAGCCAAAGCCTCCATAGGTTTCCAGCTCTCAGCCCTGTCTCGGTGCCAAGTTCACAAACACCAGCGGGGGGAGGTGGGAAGGGGATCTTTTGTTTTGCTTTGTTTTGTTTTGACATAGCTAAAGGTTTTCCTGTAATCAAGCGACTTCTAATGAAAACAGCAAGCGGAGCACACACTGAGTTGTGGGCCCGCCCAGCTGCTCCCATCTGATCCAGTCAGGAGCTATCTGCATCATCGTCACTGCTATCTGGAATTGGGAATACCACCGCTCCTGATTAGGCCTTTGAATGCCCCTAATTGGATCTTTTCCCAGTGATGTTACGACTACGCGTTAATTACATTACCCAACTGCAGAAGTGTTTGAACTGATGGACGTGGCTGAAGAGCTGTGCCCCTAAGGGTCTTCCCATGCTCTTCCTGCCACCACATCCCCTCCTCTACCACGTTCCTCTGGGATGCCTGGGATGGGATTTCCCACCAAACACCAGCCCTGACATGGGAACAAAGGGTTGCCCTTTTTGGGGCACCCTCACTCAACCAACTCACAGTGGTGGCCCCATAACCCTAATCCAATGGGAAATGGTAGGTGGTGGCCCTGTACTCATAACCACAACCCAACGAGAACTGGTAGGTGGTGCCCCATACCCATGACCATAACCCAATGGAATAGTTACGTGGTGACCCCAGACCCCTGACCAGTATCCCAGTGGGAACGAACAACAGCAGCAGATAAATTAACACGTGCACATAGTGTTGAGACCAGATGAAGCAAATGCTTCCCTTCCTTTACATCAACACATGCGGAGGGAATCTGAGCTTAAAAAAAAAGGGCTGGGCTGGTGTCAGCACAATGTGTCGTCTGACCAGGACTGAGATAGAGCTCAGTACACTGTGCCCAATAATCCCCTCTGCCCGACCTCAAGTGGCACTGGTGAGCCAGGGGCTGGGCTGTCCCCTCATCTTCTGCTGCTCACCAAGATGGAAAGGATGGAGATACCTAACTGAGATGGTAGGGATGGAGAAAGGATGAATTTGGCAGAGTCCTTCTTCAGGGACCCACCAAGAACTGAAACAAGGAGAACACTAAGCAAGCCCAGAGCTAGTCAAAGCTAAGGGAAACAGGCAATATGCCTTCCCTCCTAGTCTCTCAGGTCACTCACAAGATCAAACAAATAAAAACCCCATAAGTCTAGAAAAGTCCATCAAAGACAGATTTCCAGGTATGGTTTGTAAGAGCAAAGAGAAATCAAAATTAAAGGGTACACTCTACTGTAGAAAAGGGTCTTTGTGCCTCTCCTGGAGCTTGTGGGCAGACACTGCCCAGGGGAACGTTTACCCCAACCCTTTTCTATCTCAGCTCCCTTGCTTTTGATGGCTGGCATGGTTTCTGTAAGGCAAACTGAGAGATCATCACATGTTCCATTCCACAGCGGCAGCCCCCCAGGGATGCTCCCATCCAACGAACCATGTTGTGGCCCCAAAACACCACAACACTCAGTCAGACCTGATGCTTTGGGAGCCCTTAATCTGCAGATTACTGACACTGTAGATCATGACATCCCTTTAGGAACCATTCCAGCCCATCGTGTCAGTTGGTGCT